CTCTCATGGCAGAGCTGCGTATCAAGCTACAATGAAGGAACTTAGCAAAGACATTGACCTATTTGCCATGGGAAAGCTCCAGGTACTGATGCTATACCATGAACACATCAAGCATAGGAAACCCGCACTCACATAGCATCTGCTTCCATACAAAGGTTTCTTCCCTGCTGGTAGGAAGGGGTGTTTCCCCAGGCCATACCTGATACAAAGATTGTCACCCTGTACGTGGACAAGAGTGACTATAGTAATTAGAAACATCAAGATATCTCTCTGCTGAGCATCATGGAAAAAGGATTTCACTGTATTGTTCTTATCAGATCACAGATGCCGTTTGAACACACCGATCCTGAAACCCAGGAAGATGTGGCATTAACATGATAGTCTCAGGTTGGCAGCTGCAAGAGTAATGCCTTGAACAAAGGAAACCATCGTACATTGTCTTCATTATACCGACAAGCTATTCAACCATGAAAGCAGAGGTGGTCTACGTCAGTTGCTGGGGAAAATTAGCTGACCACCGAAACTGTTCAATGTCTTTCCGTCCATGACAACATGCTCAATGAGGTCAGCTATGATGGAGCAAATTTAGAACTTCGTGAGATCCTCAGTGGGGTCAATCAGTGTAGCGTTTGGGCACCAACATACTTTGACATGGTCATCTCTTTGCTGCTGTTATATGCCTTCAAGTCACCTACAAAGAGAATAAACTTAGCTACCGGGAGTATCAGAAAGCTGGTTAGCTTTGCTCAACGTAAAATCCAAGACAAAGCTGGGCCACATTAGAGAGTTGGTTTACACTGACAATGCCATGCTAACACCCCATACCATGAAATACCTGCAGCAAATGGACAGGCTCTCACATGGCTGGGAAGAGTTTGGCTTGATCATCAGCTTCAGGAAGACAAAACATCATGATCTATATGAGTGCCATAGTGCCATTGATCAGCGTTGAAAATACGACATTGGAGTTTGTTGATAGCTTAACATATCCAGTCTCCATGATTACCAACAATCTGTCACTTGATGCTGAAATCAACACACATCACAAAAGCTGCAGTTGGTAGATCCAAGCTGACTGAGAGTGTGGAACAACAGCAACCTTCCTGATAACTCTGTGAGACTAACAAGCCCGTGTCCTTGGCACACTAAAGAAACTGGACAGCATTTGCTAGGCAGAGAAAAAGCTGTTGCTACCTTTGCAGTCTCAAACATGTCCTCGGCATCTCTTGGTTGGGCACTGTCATTGACACAAATTAAAGGATGTGCATATACCAATTCTATCAGTCTCCCCCTGACGCTCATAATATCTGCACTAGCTTGGCCAGAGTCATCAGATGGATAATGGATGTATAGTGATTTGGCCATAGCATCACAACATTCTGAAAAATCAACACTTCTGCAACAAGGAAAGCTACGAGCAAGGTGTGAAGAAGGCAGATATTAATACTGAAAACGGGGGACAGTCTCTGACAGTCGTGGCTGCTGAAGGTGACTTTCTGGCATCAAAAGAGATGGGCAGAAACATAAAGCTCAACTGGCTGAAAAGAGCGTCCAGAGAAAACAGAGGCCAGCAAATTGTACACCTTCTCAGCTCAGCATCTTTCTCTGCAGCAAATCTGATAGAGAATGACATGTCACAGTGGGATTCCTGAGCCACACTAAGCAACGCTTAACTTAGAATTGACCCATCATTGGCATAAATCTTTGTGTTATGAGATGGAAGGCTGCAATGTGTAATAGTCTATATATTCCATTGCATATGATATCCTGTAAAATGTGCAATATATTAATAAATGTAGATTTCTGCATATTATTTGAGCAATATATGTTGTACACATTAACATACTGCATATTTATTCTATAATGTGCTACATGGTATGTTGAATACATTAAACTACAAATGGCCTCCATAAAAAGTGTCTTCAGGTACTATTTATAAATAATTTCTTTAAAAGCAATCTACTGTTCATTCCAATAACGGATTCATGTTTTCAGGAACTGTTTGTGATGTTTCTTAGTTCTTGAAGCCTTTTAAAAATACAAAATAAGATCGATCAAACATATGTACATGTTAGACAAAAACCTCAAGAAGACCAGTTCAATAATTCAGAGTAAGAATGGTTGTAATTTTATGCGGTCACTTTCCACCTATATAGGATTGCAATATCTATTTAATCACTAAGGTTTCAATCTCTTCTATTTTTAATTATATCTGATCGATGGACGGAATAGTGCAGGTAGCTCAATGCTGTAAAATGATAGAATTTTACAGCAAAGAAAGAGGTGATTTAGCATTGTAGCGAAAGCAATCCAATTCATCCCATTCCCCTGCCATTCTTCATAGCCCTACAACCTTTATGCCTTTTTCAATTATTTATTCAATTCTCTTTTGAAAGTTATTATTGAATCTATATCCACCACCCTTTCAGATTGCGCATATATCGCTGTAACTCCCTGCGCAATAACAAATTCTCCTCACGTCAGCGCCAGTTAATTTTCACAATTAACTTAAATCTCTGTCCAATTGTTACTGGAAACAGTTGGTCCTTAATTACCTTATCAAAACCCTCTATGCTGTTGAACACTTCAATCAAATCTCCCCTTAACCTCTGGGGAGAAAAACCTCAGTGGCTGTAGTCTATCCCTTTCTCTGAAGTCTTTCATCCCTGGTGCTATTCTAGTGAACCTCTTCTGTTTCCTCTCTGATGCCTTGACATCCTTCCTAATGTATGCTGCACAAAAATAAATACAATACTTCAGCTGGGGCTAACCAATGATTTATAATAGGTTTAAACCCTCAGGAGATCCTCAAGAAACCTCAACTTTTATCTGCCACTGCCAGCAAAGATTAATGGAGTAGAAATCATTATGTATTGTGTCTGTTTCTTATAATGTACACAGACATCAGATCCACTGACAAATTTATGGGAACTATTGAATTTAATGAGCCATTGAATTTTGAGAAATGCATTGGGCTTGCCAGATGATCTGATCGAACAGGGTACCATAACATGCATGAGAAATTCAGTGACCAACTCCAAATCTTAATAGAGTTGTATTTTGGTTGGTTTGACTACCTCTTAATTTAGGGTTTGAAACTTAATTTTGTAGATGTCACCCAGAATAATGGTACAGACTTGGTTAAATAATGGCATTGAATGAATTCTGACTGAAGGTCATTGAACTGAAAGTTTAACTCTGTTTCTCTCTCCATAGATGCTGCTTGAGCTGGTGGTGTATCCAACTTTATTTATTTATGTGTGGCCTTTATTTCCAGCACACACAATATTTTTCCCATTACAGAAAGATATTCATAAATCCTACAGGGAATGCAGCAGAAACTCCTTTACCAGTGCATCGTTCAAATATGGAACAGTCAACACTTGAAAAGAAGTTCATATGAAGTATTGGCTTGTTTCTGTGCTGTATTTGCAATCTTGGTGCGATGAACAAGGCTTGATGATTTTTAGATGTAGAAGACCATCAGGAGAGGGAGGGAAATCACCATGAAAATAAGTATGTAAATCTAAAGTCAAGGTATTGACAGACCAAGAGTCAGTAAGCAAAGAAATTACGGGATGAGACTAGGTGTCATTGAAGAAATGGCAGCAAGTGTTTGGATAAGCACACGTTTATTGAAGGTGGAAACGTGATGGTGGACTGGAACACTGGAATAGATAAGTTTACAGGACATTCAGCGGCGAGTACGCTGAGGGAAAGAAAGTAAAGTAAAATAGAATTGTATTTACACAACGTCCTTCACAACTCAGGAATTTCCAAAATACTTATTCAAATGTAGTCAACACCCTTTGATTACCATTTACCAAAAACTGAACTGGACCAGCCACATGAATACTGCAGCCACAAAAGCAGCTTAGAGGCTTTGAATCCTGAGGTAGAATCCTGCTGTCTTCCCAAAACATGTGCACCATCTCCGAGGGACAAGTCAGGAGTGTGTTAGAATGCTCTCCACTTGCCAGGACAGGTGCAGCTCCACCAATATTAAAGCAGCTCGACACCAACCAGGATCAATGTCGTTAATAGACACCCCCTCTACAACTGAAGCACAGTAGCTTACAAGTTACACTGCAGCAACTCATCAAGGCCTTTTCAACAGCACCCACCAAACCCACCTCTACCACCTATGAGGGTAAGGGCGGCAGATACAACTTCCCTCAAAGTCACACACCATCCTGATTTGTAAATAAGTCACTATTCCTATAGTGTTACTGGGTCAAAATCTTGGACTGACTTACTTTCAGCACTGTGGGTGTGCCTACCCGAGAAGGACTGCAGCAAAGCAGCTCACCACCACCTTCTCAAAGTCAGTTAGGGATGGGCAATAAACGGTAGCCCAGGCTGTGATGCTCATATCCGTAAACCATTCTTTCAAAAAAAAGTCACTAGACTCGAAAACGTTGATTCTGCTTTCTCTCCACATACGCTGCTAGACCTGCTGAGTTTCTCCAGCAATTTCTCTTTTTGTTTAAGATTTCCAGCATCCGCATTTCTTACATTAAAAAAAACTACGGTTGTAATGTCAGCTAGAGGTAGGCAGCATAGAGCACCAGATAATGGCAACCTGGACGATTGGAGTTAGTACTGCGAAAGCTGTGGAGATTGCAATCCCATTCGGACCAAACTTTTATTAGTTTCTGCGGGATGCCTTGCTCTTGTCACTAAGAGTGACAAATTCCGGTAATGCCGCGGCTTGTGGCACAGATATAGTTGCAGTGCACGTCATGGTTGCGGAGTCTGCCAGGATTGAGCTAGACATGTCACTTGCCGGGCTGGCTTCATACCGCTTCCGCTTGTTCGGCAATCATCGGCAAGTTCCGGCCGCAGTGTCGGGTCATGTGGTGGGTCGAGCGGTCCAATGTGGAGGCGCGCGATGGGCAATGTGTAAACGAAGTACCGTGTCGCGCTGCGCTTGCGCGCCGGCGACACGGCGGATGCTGGTGGTATGCGCCTGCGCGTTTCACTGTTGGCGTTTTGTGTGTGTGTGCGCGCGCGCTGCAGAGGGGCGTCTGGGGGAAGGGAGCGGAGTTCGTCGAGAGGAAGTGAGAGCGCGAGAGACGCCGCCGCGAGCCCGGAGGAAGTTGAGAGCGCGCGCGCGCGCTTGTGTGTGCGAGCCGGCAGCAGCGCCGTGTCCGACCCTCCCTCAGAGAGCGAGAGAAGCGGGAAAGATGCCGCGGGTCGTCCCCGATCAGAGGAGCAAGTTCGAGAACGAGGAGTTCTTCCGTAAACTTAGCCGAGAATGTGAGGTGAGAGAAACCGGCGCCTGACCCGGGAGTGCGGTGGCACGGGGGAAAGTTTGCCCGAGTTGGCGCTCGGCTGAGGGGATGATGATGGTGATGATGATGGGGGGGGGTGGTTGCTGTTGGAAGGAGAGGCCGGGTCGGGTCGGGTCCCGGTGAAAGAGAATGGGCTCACATGGCCACCGGTTTTTATAGCGGAAATTTCCCCACTTTGCCCGGGACGCCTGGTTCCCGGGAGAAGGGAAGGTTGCCGCCGGGGGAGCCCGACTTTTAATTACTCCGCATTGTCCGCTGGCGACGGTTTAACTTTCTTTCCGCTGTTCTTCTCCACACCACCTCCCCCCCGCCCCGAACAGATTAAATACACAGGTTTCCGCGACCGGCCGCACGATGAGAGGCAGATGCGGTTTCAGAACGCGTGCAGGGACGGCAGATCTGAGATTGTGAGTAAAACTCATCCTTCACTTGGTCACGGGCTCCAACAGAAACATAACGATACACATTAAATCGGCTGGCAGAGGAGCGGTACCGTCAAACTGCCCAGGGGCAGTCTTCAAACCGGGCTGCCACATTGTTCTTTAACATCCAAACGGGAAAAGCAGTGAACACCCGCTTGGGTATCCAGTATGGGTGGGTGGGTGGGAGGGAGGGAGGGGTGCAGGAAAGCAGGTTACTTTTGTAGTTTGAACCCTGACGGAGGGTCCCACCCAATGGAGTGAATAACATTTTTTAACATCTTTTTGTCTCTGCAGCATTTTGAATTTATATTTCAGATTTCCCTTTTTATCGGTAGTATTCTTTTGATAGTGATGACAATTTTATAAATAAATCTTGATATAAGTAATCCTAACTACTCCACTTGAGATTCACATTTTACGTCGCGTATCAGATGAACGCAGTACAGTCTAGTATGAGATAAAGTTCACGCTCCCCTATTTTGCAATGAATTAGTCTAAATGAGCTACCTCCTAAGGATGAAACTGGATAATGAAGATACTGAGCAGTATGCTTTTTCTCTTGACTGATCTGTCAATATAAATTACATTTGGAGCTGCCAACCATTTTTTTAGTCCTCTTGGGAATGTCAGCTTTCCTCGAGCAGAAAAATAATTGGTCTCTAACATTTTGTTTGAAGTCAATGGCATTACACAACTTTTAGACCTTTTGTGCTGCACTCCTTTTTCTTTTATTGTTTGCAGGTGTACAACTCTTACCAATGGTTGATCTGGTCTGCAGAGATCCCAGTATATTTGTCAAGCATTTGTAGAAGCAGGCAGGATTCCACTTGAGATAACAAGGTGTAGAGCTGGATGAACACAGCAGGCCAAGCAGGATCAGAGGAGCGGGAAGGCTGACGTTTCGGGCCTAGACCCTTCTTCA